AAAAATCCCAAGCTGTTTTTCTCAATCAGATTCCCGATTTGAATGTGAGCTAATTTCATATTTCCCTAAGCTAAAATTATTTCTTTGATGCGATTTGTCGCTTAGTAATCATGTCCTAAATTTTCAAGCCTTCATGTAGAATCACTGTCATGAAGTTTGGATGTTAACTTGGAATCTCGCATTATCCAATCTATTGTACAACAAGCTGGATCATTGGGAATAGTCCTCAGAAATATTTGTTACATTTACCACAAATGAAAACAGCACGCAGCTGTTGTTCATCAACCGGCCTGTAACTCCCGTATCGAGTAGACCATGCATCGGTTTCACTGGTGTGAAATACAACTAGGAAGTAATGATGGCTGGGAGCCAGAACGTAAGTTTTAAGCAGTGTCACTGTGGAATATGAAGCAAGCTCAGTTCTAGCAGTGGTTTCAATTATTCATTGGTTGTCATCAAACCGGTCACTGTTCTACTGATGAGATAACATCATACCAAATAGCTCCCGTATCATCACAAAACCCTCACCATCTTGTAGTTTTGATACACCCCTTCTGTTTTTGTACCCATGTTCCTTTGATCTCCAAACTTTGGTTTCTTCATTTATCAATCATACCTGAAATTTGGCCTCATCTGCATAAGATTGAAGTACCTCGACCACGGCCAGTCGTGACGAACCTCTAGGCAGATCCCGTAGCCTGCGAGCAACCACAAGACTTGTGGTTGCGGTACACGTGTGTTGAGCTAACGTGGCACAGGAAAGCTGATGAAAGTTGGCGTTAACGTACGGACGCGACAAGAGGACCAACGAGCGCAATAACGTGCTAACCAATCGAAAGTAAAAAGTAAAAGTTCCCGCGTGAAAGGATACAGCATAAACCGATTGTGTAAAACAAATGGCATACTGCGGTAGTGCTTGGGTAACTATGTGAACAAATAGTTAGATGATAGGGGAAAAGTGATGTCCGGCAAATGTCAGATATTGTCCGGAGTTCTCAGTACAATTGATCATACAACAAGATATGCCTCCATTGTGTTCCACTCCAATGAAACCGATGGAACATTCACTAGAGGTGACGACCGTTGTGCAATTAAACGACAGTCGTTCAAAACTAATTTAAGTGTACCCTTTTGAACTGGGAAAGGTATCTTCTCGATTTAAATATTATAATCCTTTGATGATATCTAAATATTCGTTACTATGGCCTTCCAATAGTCACGGAAGGCCAACTAATGCCGGAGAGACAGTGACAGTCTGAAGGTCAATGAACGTTAATTTAGTGCCATTCAGGAAAATCAAATGTCTGATTGCATTTGATGATACTCCAAAAGTCATGAGCATAGTTCTAGTAGATTATATATACTGGTATGTGAGCTATCCGAGTGAACTTGCGTTCTGGTTTTGTTACTAATATTGCAGTGAGCGTTCACATCACAGAACATCTGATGATATGCTTCCCCTNTTCGTCAATGCTAAACGTTAACCAGACAGACTGATTAAGAACCAGAAGAAACTATTCCGACAACATCTCTAAAATCAGTGTCCATAATGGTCAAAATGTAACTAACGGAACACCAAATATCCTGTCTGGACCATATGGGAGAATTTGTACCACGTGAACTGGGAAAGGGGCTCGTAGGTCCTCACTGTGGTGTTCTGTGGACCTTGGTGTGGTAAGATTACTCATATTTTGATGTCCGCTTCGTGTGATGGAGATCATGGTCAGATTTGCCTTCAAAGCCAATTTGAAGTCAAGGCCGTTGGAGTGCACACAGTGATCATACAGTCTAATTACTACTGCTTCCGCTGTTGCTAACTGGGGTTGCCGTTTGAGCTTCGAGCAAATCGCCGATACTCCGCAAATGACTTCAAAATTGTCCTGATGTCATGTTTCCACGAGTTGGGCTACGACTGCACTTCTGGCTGTTTCCATGCAATCAGGCAGGTTTATGTTATTTGATTTTCTGTGATGACCGCCTCCTGGTTCAACCCATACAACTCACCATATATTTTCAAGTAAAGTCACAAAACCAAGCTTGTTCGCGTTGAATTGGTGTTCTGATTACCAAATGAAAGTATTCTGTGAATATGGGAAAACTCAAGCGTACGGAATGGGCCCACAGAACACACAAAATGGCGAATCGGATTCAACTTGAAGCCATTACAACACACTTGATATGACTTATTACCAATAGGGGGTTAAGAAGGAACCTGGAAAATGATTTAAATGCTTAACATTTTGCATTGTAATCGGCCCCCACATTTGATGTGGGTGACCTGTGTTCGTAAAGACTCAATTATGATTTGTTCGAGTGTTTCATGACGGATCATTTATCGGCAATCCGGTCACGGGGGGTTGAGTGCTTGCACAGATTGCTTTTGAGGTTGTGAAGACGAATTCTGCCTGCCTCCGCTATGGTTAGAATATGAAACCGCACGTGTCTATAGATCGTCTCGTTTTAACTCTGTACATGGGTTGAGAAACGTCGATCTGGTTCGCAGTGTGATTAGTGTCAACTAGGCGCGACACAACCGCACAGAATACCCAGTCAACCCGATCAAGGAATGTTTAACGTGCCCAAGATTGAATTCCCAGTAGTTTAAAAATTTGTGCAGCAGATCACAGATATCTATCTAAAAATACTAATTAGAACATTGTAGTGAAGATAAATTCTGGTGGAAGAAACTGACTTTATGGCAAGTGACAATTTTCGTTGGTTTCGGTAGGAATCGGGCAAGGTACAGAATGGCGCTGCCTCTGTTAATGTAGATGCACGTGCAGCGAAGAGTCAAATATTGAGTCCCTTTCTGGGTTTCACCATAGATTGCGTGATTGCGTGATGCAGACAATGCTATCCATCACAAGTTATCTCAGCACATGCGTTGAAGTGCTTGAAAACAAAAACGATCAACCAAAACAGTTCGATCAACTCCACTGCATAAAAGTTTGCGGAATCTGGCGAACGAGATGAAATCTTTTTCACTTAAATAGGCCTAAATGCGTGAAAGCAGTGCAACCAATGTGGAAGGATACGTGTGGTCACAATTTGTTAAATAACTCGGCTTTGATAAACGACTAGTTTTATGTGAGACTGTGTGCAAGAAAGGGAGCTCTTTGAGCCCTTGCGAAAACACTTAACGTGAACAAACGAGGACCGGTTATGCGTGAAAGTGACACCAAGACATATATATATATTTATATATATGTTTACGACCGGCTTGAAGACAAGCGTGGTGCCAAAGCAACAATAATAATAATAATAACTATAAAAGGGGGAAAGGTGGATTGGGGTACAGAACAGAGTGAAAAGGGGGTGAGACAGTTAAACACGGGGAAATGGAAGATAACAGAGATAACAAAAATAATTTTTGTTTCACCGCACACGTCTTGATATTTTTTGTGTTCTTTGTTGTTTCTACGGGGCACGGGGCATTCGCACCACTGACTTCTATTCTGGACCATATCTCTCAGCGTCTCCAACCAACAACAATCCTCATCCCTTGGGCCCCAACCTGGAAAGCGGCTGCACCAACCGAAGCCAAAGCTGAACCCAGCTTCTTCATGCCTCTAGTCCATGTCATGGTCTGACCGCCGCGCCGCTTCTTCCAGCCCTGCTCGGCACGTGCGAAGAGAGCACGGAAAGGTAGTCGATGGGCAGGCATACGCAATATGTGACCAAGCCATCGGAGGCGGTGTAAACAGATTACTTCTGGTAGAGAACGACTATCCGCACCCAATACACGACGACGAACCTCGTTATTACTCACCCGGTTTCCCCACCAGACACGAGCAATGCTTGGAAGACATCGGTGGTCAAATACAGAAAGTCGATTAGCATCCTCCACTCGGAGAGGCCAGGTCTCGCAACTATAAAGCAAAACACTACGAACTGCGGCGATGTACACCCTTCCCTTAAGGGGAAGTCGAATGTCCTGGCGGAGCCACAGGTGTCGCAGGTTGGCGAAAGCTGCTCTAGCTTTCGCTATTCGTGATATGACCTCCTCCCCAACACCCCCACCAGCTGCGATCAAGTTTCCGAGGTACTTAAAGCTCTCAACTACTTCTAGCTCATCATCACAGATGGTGAGTACAGGCAGTGGCTCCTGCCAGTCTTGAACAAGCACTTTGCACTTAGATGGTGCGAAGAACATACCATACCTGGATACCTCGATCGCCAAGCGGTTCAAAGCGTTTTGGACTGCCTGTGTGTTGTCACCAAGCAAGGCGATGTCATCGGCATATTCCAAGTCAAGGACTCTGTTCCCTGAGAGGAGTTCGNGACGCATACCTCTCAAGTACTCCATTCCTCAACAGACAGTTCCATAGTGAGGTTCTATCGATAGTGTCGAAGTTTGCACGGATGTCTAGGAATATAATGATCGTTGGTCTTTGGTAGGCATGAGGGTGCTCTAGCAGCTGCCGGAGGGTGAAGATTTGATCGATGCACCCACGACCGGTACGAAACCCAGCCTGCTCCTCGCGTGTAGTGTACAATCGGCGGAGAATGACGGACGCCAACAGCTTTGACGCTATTGGGATCAGGCTTATGCCNGGATCGACACATACTTCTCAGGTAATCCATTCCTCAACAAACAGCTCCATAGTGCGGTCCTATCGATAGAGTCGAAGGCCGCAAGGATGTCTAGGAATACAATGATCGTTGGTCTTTGATAGGCATGATGGTGCTCTAGCGGCTGTCGGAGGGTGAAAATTTGATCGATGCATCCACGACCAGCACGAAACCCAGCCTACTCTTCGTGGGTCTGCTCCTCACGCGTAGTGTACAGTTGGCGGAGAATGACTGACGCCAACACCTTTGACTCTATCAGGATAAGCCTCATGCCCCCTACGGGGGTAGCACTCGGTGCAGCGAAACGTTTTCCAAAGCCTTTATTAACAGATGAGCAGGCACTAGGACCGTACTTCCATGGGGCTTTCTTAGAGCTTTATCTTATTTGGCCGGACCTCCAACAGCTAGGGATCGTTTCGGATGAAAATCACGACACGAACATTTCGGTACTTATTGTTAAGTCCTGAATTGATATGCTCTTGTTTGGATTCCTGTGGTGCTCACTGTTTTGCATAAAAGTTTAGACTACTGATGAGTAGCAAGCTGACAAACGCGATGCATTTATAGGTGAGGGAACCGCATCCGTTGGAACCGTTGTTTCCCAAACATGGTAACCCCACTAAACTAACACCCGAGGGGAGGTGTGTTCGAATCTCACCACCACCGCCTGATTTTCCCTATTTTGTGTTGTGCCGTAGCTCTTCGACTGGCCGCTTCCCCTTACTTGAGAATTATATCATTATGTATTCAATAGTTTGTTTCATAATTGGTCCCCAATTATCACTTGCTCCTGATGTTTCATGACAAGTCACTTGTCGGCAATCCAGCCATGGGAGCTTGAGTGCTTGCACAAATTGTTTCTGAGCCCACAGAGGGGAGTTGTGAAGACGGATGGAAACTGCCTCCACTGCGGATAGAATGCGAAACCGCACGTGTCCATAGACCGTCCCGTCTTAACTCAATACAGGGGTCGGAACGCTTCGATCACGTTTACAATGTGATTAGTGTCGACAAGGTGCGACACGATAGAACTTGTGATTGACTTAATTGCTCCACTTCGCAACCAAGTAGGGTGATGCTCACGGATGCGCTCGGACAAACGCCTGGACGTGCGGCCGACATACTTTGCTCCACAGGAAAAAGTGAAAGAGTAAATACAGAAAGAGGTAGCAGAATCGGGCATTCTATCCTTCAACCGTATATACACCAGTGGGCTAGATGTGAATCGAGTCTGATGCTTAGCCGCGTAGAACGTTTTGTTGATGGCATTTGATAGCCTTCTATGCACAATCTCTACCAAGGTGTTACCTTTAAATGGTAAAGAAATGTACACAGACTTCTTGTCAGCAATTACCCTCTTGGGAAAGTCCTCTTTCCGTTGCATCACAGAATCCACCAAGCGCTCAGGGTATCTATTCTGGATGAAAATATTCCGCACATTTTGGAGTTCTTCAACCAGCATGTCCTTCGCGCAAATTTCCCTAGCTCTATTGACCAAACAAAGTGTGAGATTCTTCTTCATATTGAGTGGTACAAAGCTACGGAAATGAATGCACTGCCCGTTCCAAGTAACCTTCCTGTGTACTGACCGCTTGATTGATCCGTCGTCACAGCGAGTTAGGCAAACATCTAAATATGCTAGCTGATTGTTTGCTTCACTTCAACTGTGGATTTCAAATTCCGGAGCGCAGCATTGAAATGATCCAGTATATGTTGGCACTCCGTTGTAGAATCGACCAATCACAAAATATCGTCTACGTAACGTTTTTACAGTACGCATCTTTTGATATGTATTTTAAGTGGACCGTTTTCTATTTTAGGCGTGAAAACATCGGTAAAAAAGGGCCCTAGAAGGGACCCCATTGCTACACCGTCCTTCTGGCGATAGATTTCCTCATTGAATTGCACATTGTGTGTGCAGAAGAATAACAATTCTTTTAGGACATCTGTCGGTAAGCCTACGTCAATCCCGTTACTTTCGATATAGGTACACAAATAATCAATTATTTCGTCGATCGGAACATTCGTGAACAGAGATGTGACATCTAGCGAAAACATGTGGCGATCTGTGATGTTTAAGCCACTCAAGGCGTCAATGAGCCCGGTTGTATCCTTGAGGCAATGCTGGGTTAATGTCACCCTCACCGGTCCCAGAAGACGAGCCAACCATTTGGCTACCGCATGGTGGGGAGAGTTGCACATGTCCAAGATTGGCCTGAGGGGAACTCCACTCCTATGTACTTTGGCAGCCCATACAATCGTGGAATCGTAGTCCCTGTTGGACGAATCCGTTCAAAAGTGGCGGTGTCTATAGAGCCCTTTTGTTTAAGTTTTCGTAATGTAATAGAAAGGACCTTCTCTGTTTGGGATGCCTTGTCATTCTCGTGGGCCATTTTTGTGAACTTCGATTCATCATTAAGAATTGTCGCTACCTTCCCGACGTAAGCGTTCCGACCCCTGTATTGAGTTAAGACGGGACGGTCTATGGACACGTGCGGTTTCACATTCTATCCGCAGTGGAGGCAGTTTCCATCCGTCTTCACAACTCCCCTCTGTGGGCTCAGAAACAATTTGTGCAAGCACTCAAGCTCCCATGGCTGGATTGCCGACAAGTGACTTGTCATGAAACATCAGGAGCAAGTGATAATTGGGGACCAATTATGAAATAAACTATTGAGTACTTTAATTACTTGCCCTCTCCTTTTTCCTTGTAAATCGTTCTCTGATACTAGTCATATTTATTGTGTTGTAATAGCATGATTAAGACACCTTACGTATTCAATAAAGAGAAGTAAACAAGTAAAAAAAATACAAAAGGCTGAGGTCGATGTGCAGATAAATAATGGTATGGAAGCACAAGACTCGTGGAGCGGCTTTGATAAAGGGGTTTTTGCCGCCTCTGTTGTGCATGTGTCGGCTTTGTTGATTCCTTACTGTTTCATTTCCTGGACTATTGCTATGTCAACAAATCAAGTGATTTACCCATTCATAGGAAACAGTAGTGAGTTCGTCCCTACCTTACGTTCTCCACACAGTCCCTGGCAAAGAGATGTCCCTCGGCTTAAAGTGTAAGCACATGATCAGATCCGGTCTTGTGTCAGAGCAAATCACAACTCTGAATGTAAGTGGATCTACAGGCTTATTTAAGATTGTTTATGGAACCACTCAACCAGTCAAATCAGCTATCTGGTGATCGCGTGAAGTGCACTTGTATTCTACATTTTAGGTCTTTCACCGAACCTTAACTGAGTCAAATAATTAACACTAGTACTATTACTAGTACTACTACTACTGCTACTACCACTACTACTGCCTGTCTCAAAGCCTTTTCACTTAAGAACTTTCTTTGCTAGATATTTTTGGATTCCCCACCAAACACTATGTCGTATCTTCATCTAACTAACAGATTCATACGCAGCAGCTGTTTCAAAGTATGTGTATTAATTCTAACGGGTAGTTTGTAGAGCGCAAATTCAGATAAACTGATTCAATCTGACAGCGAGTGAATCTTTCGAGCGATCATTGTGTAGTATTCACCAAAAACAAAAATAATCCTAACAGGAAGGAATTATAGAGTAACCAATCGAATGGTGCGCTGACTCAGTCGATTACATGACAAATTTATCAATCTACGTGAACTGAGACACAAATGAAGAGATTATATGTAAAGTATGTGCTTTACATAAAACTGTTTGATAGGTATGTTTTGTTTATGATTTTGTTTATGGATTTCGGGCCTGACCGTCGAAGAGGTATCGTCAAACTGAGGCATACGAAGCATCGCAGGCAGTAGCACGTTCAAGATGAGAAAATGACTAATCACGCTTACCTAGTCAATTTGAACATCCGTTGGTTCGGGCACAGTGTTTATGGACGTGAGTTAGTGAGTAACAAATTCCGCGGTTCGAGGTGGAGCAAGTTCACGAGAAACATATGGATCATACTGGTGTGAACAGGAGTGTCGCAGTCATGATCCGGTATCATCTAAAGGTCAAATTTATCAGGGTCGACATAAGTAACAAGTTCCAAGTCAGGATGCGAGGTTTTTGTATGTTGGAATCCGCAAGACAGAATGAGTCACACCCTCTATGTCAAAAAATAGAAGGGAATGAGTTGAGAAGTAAGAACAGTGGTCGGTGGATGCTTTTACAGTGAAATAGGAGAGCGAGAAACCATCTGCCGTTAAGGGCTAGTTTGATTGTCCAGAATGAAATAAAGGACAAATAAATTAGTGTGATTAGGCTCGCAAAACAACAGCACTTTACAACTCATAATGATAGCATGCTGCACCGAAGCAGGGAATACGACAGCATGTGGTAATAACTAAATGAGTGATTGAAAACCGTAAAATATTTTGTCATCCACTACTGGGAAGAACTCATGAAATTTGTTTTCTATATATGTTCCTTACAACTCTCTCACTCGTGGGTCATCAGGAATTGATTGTTGTGACCTCGACTGAGGTCAGAGACCGGTTGCTTTTCACGGACTAAACTGTAATGATTGGCCTCCGGACACATTTTAAGTAGAAGCCTTGCCATGGACAACACTGGCGTTTTCTACTTCCCGTTGCTTTTTGTCTGTGACAAGGCCATAGACGGCCAGTTTCTAACGTTGACCAAGGCTGTCAATCAATCGACGCTGCCCCCATCTAATGTCAATAACAAAAACTGTTTATCACTCTCGTTGGTGTTTATATTTTGAAGATAAATCCATCATTAATATGACTGTATAAACATGTCATATTCTGCGGCAGACACCAGCAGAGATGCAACATAATTTATTTCTCTTTTGAATGTATTCCATCCTTCCTTCATATTCCTCTTCAAATAGCATTTATCATACTTCATATATACTTTATATTCCCATTCTGTGTAATCCCAGACGTGTTCCACCAATTCGAGGATCGGGTACCGTATTGCTCGGTAGAGTTTGAATGGTTTTTACTCCACCCGCACGATGGAGTCTACTTAATTCTCTGCGCACTTATTTGTTTGTATAAAAAGGATATAACAATATCTAACCGACGGATCGATTGCTTTCTCTGTACCTATTGAAAAGCTGAACAACCGCATCAAGTGATCCAATACGTGTCACCATAGTAGTATTCAAACCTCAGCAAAACATTCCTTTTTTCGAGCCTCAAAACTGACCTTCTCGTTTGTTTGATTCTTTTGATAAACTTGCATGATTGATCGTACAGTCTCCATCTAAAAAAATGAATGCTGTAAGTCGTTTAACAACTGAGGAGAGCCAACTTGCTTATGATCATTATTAGTTATTGGCATTATTAACTCCATTTCTAGTCACACAAGGACCCCTAATAAAATATCCTTGATTAGAAACTCATTTTAGTCTTATTATGCTTCAATATTCATGTCAGCGTTTGAATCTTGGTTTCACGCATCATGAGACCGCATAATCAATTTGCTTCTACCATAGATTAATCGTTACACATTCTGCAACACTTTGAACCATTTTAAATCAGCCACTTCTCTAGCGTACCAGTTCTTATCGGTATTGCATGACTAAGCGGAATATTCTCCTCAGTGTGACATTCGATTTTGTTGTGGCTGATAGCCCTGAAAAGTCGATTAGCATACTATATCGCAGCAATCAGACCTGAACAGGTAGTACATTAAGCAATGTGCGATCAATGAAAACAGATGGACCAAAACCTTAATGCGAGCAACCCTAGTAGTTTAAACAGCTTCATCCTTTTTGGCAGGTGTGGATGAAACTTTGCGCACAATCTTGATAACGGCTGGTGGTGTAATTGTTAAACTGATTCCATAAGCAAACCGCAAATAGCCAATGGTGACCTTATGTCATCAGGTCTCAGCCACGTATCTTGAGTGTTGTTGCACACACAAACAAACACGCATATTTTATAACATGCTGGCACACTTTTGGTTAAGCATATCTCACACGAGGGCAATGATCTGTTAGGCGTACAGGCAAACGCATTATTCTAGTCCGATGACTGACAGATCGATTCATCCATCGATTGACTGGCAGATCAGCGCTGCTTTGCCAGTGTTTCTGCCAAAGCGACTGGTCGCGACCCCAGTCTGCATGTTTAAGTGTATTTGTATGTGAATGTGTGTGTGTAGATGTGCGGGTTAATGAGTGCGTGTTCGTGCGTCGTGTGCACGTCGTGTGCAAACCTGTGCTTGTGTGTGAATGATGCAACAACTGAGGTGAACGGATGTTTAGAGGGCCAATAGAGTAAACAAATAGAACAATTGTATGTGAATGAACAACCATTTATTTCTACGATCCACTGCCCGCGCTATTCATGTGTGTCTAACTTAAACCCAGCATAGTTTGCGTCATGACTGCATTCAATAGCTACTAATCCAATATCTATCTGCTGCATTCGCAAAGATAGAACTTTTTCATTACTTATGACTTCGGCGGTATTTATTGTGGGTAACCTACAACACACAATAAGAAACACTACAACTTCCATAAAATCAACCTTATCGTTTATTTTTGGAAATACCGTAAATAGGGTGCGTTTAAAATAGAAACAACTTGACTGCTCTTCGAGAGTTCTTAAATTATTTACTGTTTTCGATCATATTTGTGACTACTCACGAGTAGTATTTTTGAAATAATGAGCTATTGAAATAGTCTTGCACATTTCAAACCAAGAGTGGACAACAAGAGCGTTTTCAGTGATTCGTATTCATGCCAGTACAATGCAAAATATTTAACTACTTGGGAATAAAGTTTTATTGGGAAAATAAAACCAAATCACATCACATCACAAATTTCTGGAAATGAGTTCATCATGAGACCGGACATCCGATCACCACGGTCATATTAGTTGTTTTTCCACTCACCCGGTCATCGAGATTATCCGTAATACGGTGTGTATGGAGTGGGTGGTC